CGGGGGGGGGGCAGTCACAGCTTCACCGCGGGAATGCTCCTCTCCTCTGAGAACAGTCAGTCTGTCTTGGAGTCCATCACCAACCCTGACCGAAGGCTGACATGGCGGGCTGTAGTGACATCATCATCACTGTCGTCTTCAACCCCTCTATTTATTCCTCCTTCCCGACCGGAGTGCTCCATCAGCCCTGAAAGTAATGACAGCATCTCTGAGGAGCTCAACCACTTCAAGCCTATAGTCTGCTCCCCATGCACACCCCCCAAAAGGCTCCCAGACGGTCGCCTCATGGAGCCGACCATTGTGAAGTCCACGCCACGAAATCTAACACGTGGCCTGCAGAAGTCTACGAGCTACGAGGCCAGTCCTGCTGTGCTGCAGAAGTGGAGGCAAATCGAACTGGACCGTCAGAACCTCAAGGTGAACTCCAAAGCCACATTGACGAGCCCTGTTGCTGAGGTCCAAAACAAGGCTCCCAGTGGAGAAGAAGCTATAAAGGTCCGTGTTTCTGCTGGCACCGGCGATGGTGTGACACCCATCAACAAGCGGAAGCTCCTGTTTGATCCCCCTACTGTAGACACAGACACTACCCAGAAACAGTCGGTGAAGATCAGGGTTCCTGCGATTCGCTACAGCAGTGAGATGGTGACCTTCAGAGGCAGCTCAGACTTTGAGCCAACAGTATTCTGTCCTGAGTCCTGCAGCGGAGGGATGCTCTTTGGTCGGAAACAATCTTTCTCGCCATACTCGAAGAACTCGGGATTCCAGTCGTGCAAATCGGTGCCAAAGGACTCACAGAGTCCAAGGAAGGAGTCGGACAGTGGCATCCTTAACCAGTCTACCTCAAGGCGAGGAAAGAAGAGGAAGCAGAAGACCAAACATTTAGACTCAGACTGTGACGCTGACGTGAAAAGGAGCCGCCCACTCAGCCAGGAGGCCTTCGATGAGCTTTCTGTCTGTACGCCAAATTCATCAGGAACACCAGGACCACATTTTAGCACTAAATCTGCAGAGACAATTTGATTTGGAGAACCAGGCCGTCAACCACAGGGGCACCACCAGTGCATACTTCCTGCGGTCCTGGATGTCCAATCATAACCGAAGGAGGCGTGGCTTGAGGAGATCCAGGCGTCTCATAAAAAAGCACTAGATCAGATTTTTCAGCTGATGTTGCACAAGGTCAGCCAGAAAACAGTTTCTTTATGCAAAGTAGTGAAGGTTGAATAAGAATTGTTTGTAAAGAATCATGAGCTTATTTTTTTAGGTTTTGTCCATCTGCACCAGCATGTAGCTAGAGTGGCAGTAAAAATCATCAGCTACAACACTTTAGTCAGAAATGACATCAGCTCTCTCCGCTTGCTGCCATTGCTCTTTTCTATTTAATGGATCGGGACTAAGACCAGATTCTGGTCCTCCACCATTCCTGCCATTGATGTCTTCCAGTCCGAACTTTCCTCTGATGCTTCTGTTTTCCGTGTAGCTGTCACTGCAGACCATGTGGACTGCAGCCTAGCCCAAACACATTAGAAGGAGAAAACACCTAAAGTCCTGACCCTTAATGGACCTGGACAAGCCTTCCAGATCTGAAGGATGTTTTTTAAGTGAGACCACAGGAGCTTTACTGATGAACATTTTATAAAGTTACACTAAAGACTGGAGTCTGAAGTTGTCCGTCAGTGTTGAAGTGTGAGTTTAAAGTTGAATGCCAAACAGCCACAGGCTGTTGATGATGATGATGGTGGTGATGATTGATATGTATGAGGATAAAGACCTGAGACAACTGCCTTTGTATTTTTTTACTTTGTTAAACTTACAGTGTAGGAAGAAACATTACAGTAAGACAACTAGGCCAAATTATGGTTTGGCCTAATTCACTGCCTGGCGCACACACACAGGCCATATGAAACATTGATGGCTTAAAACATTGGACAGCTTTATAAAAGAACATAAATGTCTTGTTGTTGATCAAATGGATTAACACATAGACAAGAAGACAAATACAATATTAAACAACAATGAAATTAAAACTTTTTTGGAGAGCTTGCAGCAGCACCCCCTCTCATACAGGTGGCGCCGAAGCCCAGCGCCTGTGATATATATATGTATACCTATGGAATTTAGTTTATTTTCACTGTTAGTGTTTTCCGTGTTAAGTATAATCATGTCCGGGATACACAAAGGCCAAAAATAAGTGCAAAGGGAGAAAAAAAGAAACGAGAGACGCGCATGTTCCAGTCAGATCCAGCAGAGCGCCAATCAGAGACGGACAGATCACGGCTTCCGTATTGGTGGTAAAAAGAAACATGGCTGCCGCGAGGAACGGGAAGAACGGTCTACTGGAGAAAGTAAGCTTTCTACATCTCACATCTATGTTTCACAGCTTAATGAATCGACAGTTCTGTCTTTAAATGTCAGTTAAGTTCATCTGAGGAATTTTAGGTTTAATTTGTGATGCAGGCGTGTTACGGTGGTACGTTGAGCTAAAGTTGCTAACAGGCTAAATGAACGTGTTGTCTGCAGCGAGCGAAGGAAACAAACATCCTTGACATTTCTGTATTAATATGACGGTTCTATTTCCTCATCCCAAGCTGCGGTTATTTATATATGAGCTATTGCACCATGTCGAGTTTTGATTACACCTAGCTATGGGTAATCCATCTTCAAAAGCGTGAATTGATGCAGTGAGTACTGACGTCACATTGTGGATGCCACCGATGGGTGTCTTTGCTTTAAACGGTTTAAAACTTTTTTAATGAAGCGTTTGTGTTTGGAACATGGTCACTGTTCGAATACGAGTTGTTAAACGCGTTGGTCATGGTGTTTTATTTGGTGTCAAACTGCTCGGATGTTTACTGTTTGAGAACAGCTGGAACATCTGCGACATTCTCACCCCATGTTACGACCTGGATGAAACAAACTACAAACCATGTAACACAACATGATGCAAGCTAGCCGACTACCATTATGTGTTCATTTTTGCTTGTTTTTCAGTGGAAAATCGATGAGAAACCAGTGAAAATTGATAAATGGGATGGAGCTGCTGTCAAAAACTCCCTGGATGATGCAGCAAAGAAGGTTTTATAAATTGTATTTTTAAAAAACAGTTTGGAAATGGTTTTTGGACATGAGTACTCATTGGCATCAGGATCTTCGGTGTTCCTCCTAAGCACTCGTCTGATTGGTTATGTTCTACTTTCCTGCAGGTGTTGCTGGAAAAGTACGGTTACGTGGAGAACTTCAGTCTGGTGGATGGCCGTCTGTTGATCTGTACTGTATCATGTCTTTTTGCCATGTTGGCCCTGGTGTGGGACTACCTGCATCCCTTCCCTGAGTCCAGACCAGTGCTGGCCTGCTGTGTCATTTCATATCCTGCCTCTGCATGACAATGTTGATGTTAAATGACAGAAACTGCATGCATTTATGTGTTGTCTGTGTGAACAAAAACTGTTAACTCTTTAACTCTCACTCCTTCACGTACTTCGTCATGATGGGCATCCTGACACTCTACACGTCCTACAAAGAGAAGAATATCTTCCTGGTAGCACTGCAGAGGGATCCAGCAGGGATGGATCCAGACCACGTGTGGACACTTTCATCCTCTCTCAAACGGTCAGTGCTTTAACAACTAACACTAACCTCGGAAATTTAAACCAAAAAAGCAGCTCACCATAGCTGCATGTGGTAATGTGGACAGCACTGTTTTTTTGTATTAAAATGATGACAAGCAGCACATCTATAAATTGTAATTTAAATAAATGATTAAATTACAATTTTAAACTTTTAACCTCTGGACTTTTTTCTGTACATAGCAATTCAAACATTCATGGCTTCCCCTATTGTCTGTCTTTCTTCACAGGTTTGATGATCAGTACACACTCAGAGTTTCCTTTACTGATGGGAAGTCCCGCAGGTTTAGGGAGGCAGAGTTCATGCGCTCGGTGTCGGCCTTCTTTGATGAGAATGGCACACTGGTGATGGACCAGTTTGAAAAGTGTGTTTCTAAACTGCACGACACACTGTCGTCTGACAAGAAGTCAAAGTAAAACAGTGTGGTCACGGTGGTGGCTTGTGATGAAACAGCTAGACGTCCACTGCAGAAGCACATGATGTCACCATGTGGTAGTTTACCACCTTAGTGAGGACCAGACTGTTTCTTGTGCAGATGATTTCTGTGAGTTGAATTCAGAGAAAAATGAATAAAATTCACTGGAATCATCAACAATCTTTCCCACCTGTTGTCTGCGGTGTGGCAGAAGTCTTCAGAAACAAAAAAAACAAATTTTCTTTTTTTTTTTTTACTTCATTTCAACTTATCCTATTTTACTTTTCAATTAGCAATTGTTTATTTTGCCATCAAACAGCAGCTGTGTCAGTAACACTCTACTGTGTTAGTAACACATTATAGTAGCCAAAAAAGTCAGGCAATTCTCTAAAGCCATCTCAACTTTTTTAGGCACAGATGTTTGAGGTCATCGTCTTTCATTTTTGGGTTTTCTGACAACCAAAACAGAAATTTGTCTTAATGTGGACCACATTTAATTTTAACCATATGTATGTAAACATCGTGACAAAATTAAAGAGGGATTCTGTTACACAATGTAGTTGTTGAGTTTTTGCTGTAATACTGTACTTTGGCCTACAGAGGTCACTACTTAGTTAAGACTCTGGTTAAGTTAGTCGATTCGTTTCTCTTCTTTATGGACTCAGAGGAGTGACCTTTTAAAAATTATATAAATACGTTGTTTACTCTACTAATATTGTTCTTGGGTGGATCAGTTGGTTCCATATTTAAGAGACACATTTATTACATTTCACTGCAGACTGTTCACATGGTTGATGATGATCTGTACATTTGATAATAGCTGAATTATTTTGAGACTCTACAGTTCTCTTCCCAAGCATCTGGCCAATCTGACATATTTTTAAAAGACAAGGTTAATTTGTTTTTTACATGTGAATTAAATAAGCAATTAAAAATGTTAGATCTATATACTTTTTAGTATTCTCTTGCTTTTGAGACTGTTCTGCATAATTGTGTGAACGTTTTTGAGGTGTTTTTTATCTATTAAAAAAGTCAATTTAAAAAAAAACCCAACCATATATACTCTACCCGTTTATTAATTTTTTTAAATTAAATCCAGCCTCAATCTGCATTTTTTTCAGAAGGTGGAATGCAACTGTAGAAAATCCATGATCGTCCATGCAAACAGTGTCACAAACTGGGTTTCCTCATCAACAGTTACAACAGTCCATTTGACCATAGACTGTTTATAAGAACAGGACACAGTTTTCTCAGTTGTATGTTGTAGTTAGAGTCTGATGCTGCAGGGAAACATCTGCAGTCGTTCTGAAAGTCAGTTGATTTGCATAGACATCATTGGAAATATAATGTTTGTAGAAACAGATGGAAAAGTTTTATTTACATCAACAGTCAAAGGAACCAAACTTTTTGTAGAAATAAAAAGAGATTAGAGTAATTCTAAAACCAGCTCAGAACCTTTACTGATTTGCTTTTGTTTATTCATTCTTTGGGTGAAGTTTCTCTCTTTTACTCCTTGCTGATATGGGTGAAGTTTCTCTCTTTTACTCCTTTCAACAGAATAACAAAAAACTGGTTTGGTGAATGTAGGTTATGGACCAAAGGTTTGGGTGGTGATCTGGATGTAATTCAGATTTTTAAAATATAAAAATGTTCACGTCATTGTAGGAAATAGACAAGAGGCTGATAAATGGTGCTTTACACAAGAAGTTCCCAAATTATTATCTTTATTGTTTTTATACATTTCTTTGATCTTTCATGGTAATTTGTTCACTGTTGTTTTGTGTTTTTTTGTGCATACACGTTCATTGTCTCTTTAAAACCCTGGTTCACAGGTCATCTTCACAGGGCATGGTCACTGTCAGGAGGGGGCGTGGCCACAGTGTGGGCTGGTGTGTGTCCTCAGGCAGTGATTAGACGTGAGTGAGAGAGGCTCAGCGTCAGTGTCCCACGGCCATGGCCTGTCTGATGGCTGCCTTGTCTGTTCACAACGCCAGCGTCACCAATGCTGTCATCATGGTGAGTCCAGAGTCTGCAAACTGACTGAGGGGACAGACAGAGGACAGGTGATAAGGACAAAAACTAAGGGGAACAGACTGGAAATAAGTCAAGCGGACAGGGGAAGAGGACAGGCATTAAGGAGAGTGAGGGGACAGACAAAGGACAGGTGTGTGAGTACAGGTATGTATTGAGGACAAAACTTCCAGTACAGAATGAGAATGAATTAAGAGGATAGACAGTGAAGTGAGACACAGACTGAGGAAAGACACCTGTACAAGAACATAAGGAGATGCAGTTGGTGGACGGACAGCAGATGGACATCATTCTTATATAAAACAGTCATGACATAAAAAGTGCCAAACTTTGGACAAAGATGGAATGAGAAAAGGAAAGGCACAAAAAGTTTGACGTGGTATTTTATGTATAACTTAGTCAAATGTCAGTAACAGAAGGAGAATTTTCAATTGGAAAGTTTCTGTGACCACAAACAGCACCAGTTCTTAGGGTTAAATGTGGTACCATTCTTGAAAGAACTCAACAGGTTGGTGCTTGTTCCAGACCTGATGGAAATCTTCTGTGGACGTAGTCTGGGTCAAACTTTGTCTTGTCGTGTAATCCCAGACACAGGGATTACGACAGCCTCAAAGACTCAGCCAGACTTTTTTGGTTGAAGTCATCACCTTTAATATTTTTAATTATAGTTTAATTTATTTTTTTAATCCTCTGAAGAGAATCTCTCTGTTGTCTAATGTCTTTCGCAGTTTTTTTGTTTGCTTGACTTTGTGTTTAAACTGGAGGTTCAGATTTTTGGCTGCAGATCAGACCCATCTTCACCACATGTTTATGGACATTGAGTGTCTGTACATGTCTGTACCTGCGTCTTATTGGAGATCACAGGCCATAAGAAAAAAAAGGGATCTTTGTTTCTTAAATTCCTGCTAGTGTATCAGTGTTGTGTTCCACTCAACACTCCTAGGTTTTAAACTGAGCCAGGAAATTCTGAGTAAAAGTGAAAGTAAGAACAAAACTAGATTGTTTTATTTTGTTACTAATACTTTTCATGACTTTTTCGTTTGGTGGTGCTCCGTGGGATTTCTTGAATGTGGAATATGTGCATGGCTCAAATAAAGGTTAAGAAGAACTAGACTACAGTATATGTTGTTATTTGATGGAGATTCCTATTCTGTTGTTATTATGCAAAGTAATGAAACATGTAAGGACATGTGTAACCAGCTGCTTTGAATATGTGTGCATGGCTGTGAATGGGACTGGGGATGACCTTTCACCTTTTGAACCTCATGTCAGTTTCTTGTCCCACCTTCAGAACAGCAACGGACCGCCTGACCTGATGTTGGATGTTGGGTCGGTAAGCATCAGTATGGACCAGAGGCCTGTAGGGGGCAGCCAGCGGAGACCTCTGCTGCAGGTGCTTGTGAAGAAGGTGGACAACAACCTGATGGAAACCCAGAGGTTCTCTTCGTTACCACGGAGACCGGCGATCGATATTGAATTTAAGGACGTGTCGTACTCTGTCAGAGAGGGCCCCTGCTGGAGAAAGAGAGGTATTGCACCAGCATCACTCTCCTGTGTAGATGGCGTTCATTAGACTATGCAGACAATGTGGCACTTTATATCTGTTAACACTTGAACTCTGGTAACATCCATGGTCAGTCCAGTATGATGGTAAGAACTAAAAATACTAATGTAATTTGTCAGAAAAAGTCTAATCAATCAAAATATGCCATGAGCATTAGCAGCATATTTCCAGACATACTAGGGTTTGTGGACCTCCTGTTGAAGGTTTTTGACATATGTTTCTGGAATAGTAATTCATTTTTTGTTCATAGAAGATTTACCTTTGGTCTCTGTATCGGGTCAGTTTTGATTCATGGGGCAGAACTGATTGTTTCTGTGTCATATGTCAGTGTCACTGACTGAGACCTGGTTCTGGAGCTGGTGTCCTGTAGGCACCGTGCTGACTCATCAGATTAACAGAGGTCAGTCCTCATGTCCATGTCCGTTGGAGGCTTTGAGGTAACTGTCGATCAACAGAGGCAGGAGTAGTGTGCTCACCGTCCACCTGGACACATGTAGGACCGGGAACATCCAAGAAAAAAGATTTGACAGTCACGAGGATTAGGTTGTGGTCTATATCTGGAGATAGTTGTACGATGAACTGACAGGGATTCACACAGGGTTTGTGCATAGTGGACATGGGAAAGCATTTTTGTAAATTACTGTTGTTGGTTGACTGTATGTGAGTGTGTGTGTGTTAATCTGTTAATCTGCTCTGTTCTAAAAAGCCTGGAGGTCAGATTAAAGGCAGCTCGCTCTCGTTCTGACTCCAAACAAGAGAAACATAAATAAAGGCGTGTTTTCCTGGTCAGGGTGGGAAATTCCACGTTACGCAGAACGACAATGAAGGGGTCGATGGCGTTTTGAGGACGTTGCATTAATGCAGTTCTTTTACCAGCAGCAGTTTTAAATATTTGCCCCCGCATCAGTGGCTTTAAGTTATCGTCTAAACAATAATTCTACTCAATTATTTGACCGGTCCATGGATTGTTTCACCTTAAATGTCTAATTTATTATCAGTTTATAATTTCACTGCTGAGATTTGGACAGATTTTCAGAAAATCAATAAATTAAATTAAAAAATCTTTTTATTCTTCTGAAAAGTATTTCCTGCCCTTTGGTGTGTGTTTCACTCAGCCAAACTGAATGTGTGAACAAAAAAGTTCCTCTCCTGTTTCAGACTCTGGCCAAAAGACAAAGAAAAAGGAAAAAATGAAAAGAAAAGAAAAAAAAACATTCAGATGTGAAATCTGACCTGGAATCTGCTCAGTGTAAAGACTCAGGCTCCACCCACACTGACAGCTGCTGCCGTCCTCATTTCACATTTTCTACTGACCAAAAATAAAAGAATCTACAGTAAAACAGTCGATATGTTGGTACTGTGGCGACAGTGAGGCCTTTACTCAAAAGCTGTGGCAGCGTCTTGGTTCCAAACTAGAATTAGTTAACTCAGTTTTAATACCCACACCATAGTTGTTCAATCAGAATAGGTGAGAGTGATATTGTCATGTGTCTGATACTGACCGCAGCACTGATGCTGTTTTGGAATACTTCTACACAAACTACGTTGGTAATTCAAACCTGCAGACAAGTTTCTGTCTTTGTTGACAAGGAAACATCCTGACACTTGGATGTGTGAAGATGTGTGTATGCTACAGTGGACACGTGTAGACATTTATGGACATATGTGGACAATTATGGTCAATTAAGTGTGAGGGTATGTCTGTGAAGACTCTCATTCATCCAGGTCATGTTATCCATAGATTTGAGCTGTAAGCAACTGGACTTCTTCTTGGAGCTTGAAAGACATTTGGTTCCTCAGCTGAGAAACTTCATCAGTGTGTGGACGTGTGGGGACATGAGTGGACATGTTTGGACATGTGAGGACATGTGAGTGTGGGTTCCTTTGGACAAGTGCGTGTGGACATGTGTCCATGGCCTGTTGTTGTTGCTGGTTTGTTTCTTTAAGTCTTTAATGAGATGCTCTCAGAGTCTGAACTCACTTTCCTTTTGAAAAACAAACATTTTGTTCTCACAGAGGTTTTAGTTTCACTGAGCTCTGAAACCAGCTCTGCTCAAGTGTGAGGAAAATTCCTCCTTCACCTCCTCCTCTACTTCCTCCTTCCACCCCCGATGAAAATAATTGTTAATCTGTTGCTGTACGAGCTGAGAGTACAGAAGAGTCTTCATAAATGTGTACATCTGACTGTGACTGTGCGGGTCACTGCAGTACAGTGTATAATACTGCTGAGTGACACAGACGTGTTGCAGTACAGTGTGTGTATTCCTGCAGAAGAGGTAACTGTTGGTCAAAGGATTTAATCCATTCCAGTGGGTTATAATCTGATAATCTCATTAAACAGTGTTCAGTCTTCATCAGCAGATAAATACTGCAGGTTATTTTCAACAGCCTCTTTGTTTTCCCTCGTATATACTGTATATATATACTGTATATTTATAATTACCTAAACTAACACCTCAAAATGTCTAAAAGGCAACAATAATTTACAATCGTAGAAGGGTCATAAAATATTTCTGTAATATTTCCATACAACCTTTCTCAGTATTTCTTTTTTATTTGAATCATCATCATTTCATACAAACACAAATGCAACAAAAGCCATAACACAGATACCTTTAAATATATAAAAACTACCAGATTATTGTCATTTGGAGAAGATAATCCAGCAGTCAGTCTGCTGACAGACAAACAAACACAGAGGTGTCCTGTGTCTGTGGTTCGTTTCATCTGCCTGATAAAAAACAAAACAACCCATGACTGATATATTTCTTTGTTTTTAAACAAATAGAAATCAAATAATAAGAACGATAAAAATAAGAAAATTAAATTGAATGGAATTTAAACATGATAAATAATGAAGTCCATGAAGTTTTAGATCTTGTTTAAACACATGAGAGCTGTCCTGTGTTTTTTGTCCCTTTAATTGTCCAAAGTCTGATGTTATCACGTTTTATAGTTAAAACAAAACCACTGATTAAAAATCTCAAAGACTTTCTGTGTATCTACAGAATTACAGATTCATAAATGAATCCATTCTAAAGACCAGAAACGATTCACTTCTGTGTAAAGTCTGTTTTCTTTTCTTTTAGTGAATGAGTTTCATTTCCTGTTTGAACTGTAATCTGGAACCGTGAAGGTTCTCCACAGGGTTCTCTGTGTGTGACTTGTTCTCACATCACAGATCTTGTCTGTACTGATAGAATCTATTGATCGGAGCAGATTATTCAAACCTCAGTGGATATGGGGGAGTGGGATAGGGGTGACTGTGGCATCAGTGAGAGTGAAACCAGAGAGATAGAAATTCTGTAGACTGAGCTGAAACCTGAATCACTGCAATGTGGACAAAGAGCTGTGTTCCTCAGAGCGGCTGGGAACCTGTGGACTCATTGTTTCTGTTCTCCTCAGGTTACAAGACTCTGCTCAAAGGGATTTCAGGAAAATTCACGAGTGGAGACCTGGTGGCCATAATGGGGCCCTCAGGAGCCGGGAAGTCCACGCTCATGAATATCCTGGCTGGGTACAGGTGAGGTCTCCACGCCTGAGGGCTGGTTCTGTACTGTAGATCAGAGCAGAACTGTTCTGCTCTAGTGGTACGTCCAAGTGAACCAGTTAACACCTCTTTAAAAATGTCAAGAATCCAATGAGATCAAACCAAAGTGTATCTGTCCTCATGGGTATAAAGTACCAGCTAACTGGGATTAGTTCTTAGTTCTTGATTCCAAACACCAGTAGTTCAGTCTCTCTGCTGGACTGGCCCAGTACTAATGTTGGTGGCTGTGACCAGGGAAACCGGAATGAAGGGTGAGATCCTGATCAACGGTCGACCCAGAGACCTGCGCTCCTTCAGGAAGGTTTCCTGTTACATCATGCAGGACGACATGCTGCTGCCCCACCTGACCGTCCACGAGGCCATGATGGTAAAACGCACAGATTCAAACGTCCAGGTCCAGACTGGGACCTAGTACTGATCCAGTTCTTCACCTGCTGCCCTTGTTTCTGCAGGTGTCTGCTAACCTCAAACTGCAGGAAAAGGCGGAGACTCGCAAAGAGATGGTTAGTTTGAATCCCTTCCTTTTACTGTTGTGAGGTTTATCGTTGTCAGTGTTCTGGCACTGCAGTCAGCCTCGAGTCCACAGCAGAGCAGGCACCACAATGTGATGGAGTATTCTGAAGAAATTAGTGTAGAGTAGGTGAATGTACCATGGAGTATTCGTATCGGTGTACGCAGTATGAGTAAAGATAAACAGAAGTTTCTTTCTAAAGTTACTGAGTTACTGAGTGTCTGTGGATTCAGGTCCGGGAGATTCTGACGGCTCTGGGTTTAATGGAATGCGCTGAAACCAGGACATCACACCTGTCTGGTGGTCAGAGGAAGAGACTGGCCATCGCTCTGGAGCTGGTCTACAATCCACCAGTCATGTTCTTTGATGAGCCCACCAGGTCAGAGGGTTCACTGACTGACAGACAGTTTTATTGTCACTGTGGTCCGAGGTAGCAACTGGTTTCTAGAAAGCTTAGTTTGTACTCTTATTAACTGTCTCCTTGTGTCCCCTGTGTCTCCCTGTATCTCTGTCTCAGTGGTTTGGACAGTTCTTCCTGTTTCCAGGTGCTGTCTCAGCTCAAAGCTCTGGCTCAGGGAGGAAGAACCATCATCTGCACCATCCACCAGCCTAGTGCTAAACTCTTTGAACTCTTTGATAAGGTATCACACTACTACTACTACTACTACTACTATTACTACTACTACTACTACTGCTGCTACTGCTACTACTGCTACTACTACTACTACTACTATTACTATTACTACTACTACTGCTACTACTGCTGCTACTACTGCTACTACTACTACTATTACTCCTGCTGCTACTTCTGCTACTACTGCTACTACTACTACTATTACTCCTGCTGCTACTTCTGCTACTACTGCTACTACTACTACTATTACTCCTGCTGCTACTTCTGCTACTACTGCTACTACTACTACTATTACTCCTGCTGCTACTTCTGCTACTACTGCTACTACTACTACTATTACTATTACTACTACTACTACTACTGCTACTACTGCTGCTACTACTACTGCTTCTACTACTACTGCTACTACTGCTGCTACTACTACTACTACTGCTACTACTGCTACTACTACTACTACTGCTACTACTGCTACTACTACTACTACTACTACTACCGCCCTCACACCATCAGTTAGTTGGGTTTTTATTGCTGGTGGCTGGGTGATCCCAGGTTGTATCTGTGTGTTGCAGCTCTACGTCCTCAGCCAGGGTCAGTGTATCTACAGAGGAAACGTCTCAGGCCTGGTCTCCTACCTCAGAGAGATTGGACTGAACTGCCCCACCTACCACAACCCTGCTGACTTTGGTAAGGGCTGCCTCCCCCAGGAACACCACCTCCACCCTCACAGCAACTGCATTGTCTGCTAACCCCACCTCTCTGACAGTGATGGAGGTGGCGTCAGGAGAATACGGAGATCAGATGGTGCGACTGGTGAAGGCTGTTCAGGACAGGAAGTGTGACACGTGTCATCAGACTGAACTGAATGGAGATGTGAACCTACAACCTGTCCTGTGGCAGGGCACTGAGGAGGTGTGGAGGAAACACGTGGTGTTGGTGGTTGGACGTCTGTACTGTTGCATCACGACTTGATTTAGTCTTTTCTTAGTCTCACCACAACAAATCAGCTTTGTTCTCCCCTTCTTCAAATGTGGATGGATGGTTTAAATGAGGAGTCTGGATTACAGAATATTTTCGTTCTGACATTATTAGATGTCTCATTGATTTTCATTTAATATTCACTTTTCATACGTTTAAGCATGGAGGATTAGGATTAGGGTTAGTAGTTTGTAGTGTGTTAAATTCTAAACCTTAAGGTTAGCTGTGGTTGTATTTCTTTAATGATCTCTTTTTAATTATGTTTACTCTTTAAGGTGTTCTTTATAGTACTGTTATCTTTATTGATCATTATTACTCTGTTGTTGTCTCAGGACTTGGCCTCATCTGAAGGCTGCCACAGATTCTCAGCCAGCTGCATGACCCAGTTCTCCATCCTGTTCAAGAGAACTTTAGTCAGCATCGCCAGAGACTCGGTGAGATGACTCGAGAGCAACACCTGCTGGACAGTCTCTGTCACTCGCTTCCAGCTGTGAATAAATTGTCATCTCCTTGGCTCAACAGGTGCTGACCCACCTGAGAATCCTGTCTCACATCGGGATTGGTTTGTTGATCGGTTTATTGTACCTGGGAATCGGGGATGAAGCCAAGAAGGTTCTGAGCAACTCAGGCTTCCTGTTCTTCTCAATGTTGTTTCTAATGTTTGCAGCGTTGATGCCAACAGTGCTCACGTGTAAGAGTTCAAACAGTGACTCCTCCACCCTTCAGGTTGTTCAGTTCTACACTTCAGTTCTACTCTTGTGACTCACTTCTTAGAGTGCTCTCTTTTCTTTAAGTTCCTCTGGAAATGGGAGTGTTTCTGCGGGAGCACCTGAACTACTGGTACAGCCTGAAGACCTACTACCTCGCTAAAACCATGGCTGACATTCCCTTTCAGGTACGGAGCAAGCAGCAAACAGTCCCTCACTCCCCGTTGCCACTGATCCAAGGAATGGGTGAAAATAGTTTTTCCATAGTGTATGTGTCTGTACAGCATGTTTACAGTTATTGAACCTGTAGCCTTTTAGTGTAATTGGACCAAATTTATTGTCTGGTTTCACAGCTCACCCCTGCTGGACACTGCTGAGCCTGTATTTTACTTTTAATAACATAATACCATTTTATAAAAGTTTCTATCTATTCAATTCTATTTCTATTTAACATGTACATCTTCAGTGAAATGTGCATAAAACAAAAACAACAACAAACGTTTTACTAATAATTTAAGCATTTGACCCGTTTTAACCTGATCACAGTTTAAACTAATCATACTGATTTTTTAGGACTCTTTTATTCATTGCTGCCCCTTAGTGGCTTTATCTTACTGTACATCACAACACAACACAACCATTTCGCTCTGTTTTCCAGGTGGTATTTCCGGTTATGTACTGCAGTATTGTGTACTGGATGACAGCTCAGCCTCCTGATGTTGGACGCTTCCTCCTCTTCCTGTCTCTGGGAATCTTGACTTCCTTTGTGGCCCAAAGTCTGGGTCTGCTGATTGGTGCCGCTTCCAATTCCCTGCAGGTCGTCTCACTTTTTTTAAACAGCTTACCAGCGCCACCTACAGACGTTGCAGATGTCAGTCGTGCCTTCTGGCGTCACTCACTGATGTGTTTCCTGTAGGTGGCAACATTTGTCGGCCCTGTCACAGCAATTCCGGTCCTGCTGTTTTCGGGCTTCTTTGTCAGTTTTGATACCATTCCCTGGTACCTGCAGTGGATGTCATACATATCCTATGTCAGGTGGGGGCGCTGTTTACTTTTACATTTTAAACTGATAACCATAGATACTGATAAAAAGACACCCTAACATAGGTTATAGATAGATTATTTTTATTTTACTATTATCTCTATTATTCAGAGAGTATAAACATAATAACCATACAATAAATGAACTCTAATCAAGCACTAGTATTAGTACTTCAAATCGAATCCATTCCTGCCCCTCATGTGACCATTAATGACTTACAGGTATGGTTTTGAAGGCGTCATCCTGTCCATCTATGGCCTGGATAGACAAGATCTTCACTGTGACGAAGATGACACCTGTCACTTCCAAAAGTCCGAGGCCATCCTGAAGGAGCTGGACATGCTGGATGCCAAACTCTACCTTGACTTCATCGTCCTCGCCATCTTCTTCTTCTCCTTAAGGCTACTGGTGTACTTTGTCCTGAGGTACAAGATCAGTGCTGAAAGGTAGACCAGGACCAGGACCAGGACTGTGTGATCAGAGTGTTTTAAGTCCAGTGCTCCTGTGTTCTGTCACCACATGTGACATGTGACAAGGTCACTGAACTCTGACTCTACTTTGGCTTCAGAAACAATGTGAGTAGACACCAACTAGTCTAAGGATACGTCAGAGGTCAGCAGGTCAAAGCCCAAATCCTGCAGAACCAGGAGCTGGTCTCCTGAGTGTCTAAGGACCAGAGGTCCAGGGTGACCTGATCCCTGAATCCTGGACAGTTTCCACCTGATTGATGTTCACGTCACTGTATCGCACACAGCCAGTGATTATACTTCCTTAAGCATTCAGGCAAACAACAACATTTTATTTCATCTGTAAATATTTGGAAACTCCACATGGGACTTTTCCTCAAAAGAGATTTGCTGCTCCTATCTAAAATGTCAGCTTTGCTGACTTCTGCAGCAGACTTCAGTACAAACACAAGTTTATATTGAGTCAATATGTCAAACTGGAGTTTGAATTAATTATTAGAATTGCTTGATAAAACAATGCTATTTGTGTTCATAATCAATTCTTGTGAATAAACATGATCAAAACAAATACCTGCAGGATGTTATCAAGCCTGTGTGACCAGAAGGTGGGGCTGTTTACTCACAGAGGGGACAGAATGAGGTTTATAAGTAACTATCGAGCCAGCGTTAGTCACAGATAAATACATAAATGAAAGAACAGTACAGTGTTTTAAAAAAATCCGTTTAAGCGCGCCCTCTCCTGGACATTTACTGTATCTCCTCCAACACCAGGGGTCACCAACCTTTCTGAAACTGACAGCTACCTCAAAAGCACTGAGTAATATGAAGAGAAACTTGTTTGTTACAGACTTCCACCTTAGGTAGTCCACGGGGGCTACGAGGTGCCCCCGTGGACTAGCAGATGACTTGGCGTCTGACCTGGACTTCTCTGAGTCTTTGAGGGTAAGGGTTAGCCACAGGTGTGAATGTCTGTTTTGACCTGTCCAGGTCATGACCTCTCCTCACCCAGTGTTAGTCTGCACTGTGTCCAATCAGCACAGTGACTCAAATTTCTATTCTCAATGAATAGATGTATTGACCTTTGTTGACCTCTCAATGAATGCAAACAGGCCTGAAGTTGTTTACATCGCATCATTAGGTTTGGTGTTGTTAATGAGGTCCCACAGGTCAAAGGTCGTTTGGCAGTGTCAACATGTCTGTCTCAGAGGAACTTTCACAGTGGACACAATTTGTCCCTTCAGTGCCTCAGTAACAGGATGCTGTGTCCCTGGAGTCCAGAGAGACAACTAATGATGTCCCCCTGGACACCAGAGGACGGACAACAGAAGCACAACAACAGTGTGATGGCCACAACTGTAACATACAAACAACATAACCTTCTCTGTGGTTCGTCCCTGAAGACACGGCTGACTCACATCAACTCTTCACTCTGTTGGAACTTTAGCCTGTCCAAACATTCTTTGGACCCAGGAAGAGGTTATTAAGAAGAGTCATTAATGACACACACACACGCACACACGCACACACACACACACACACACACACAGCGCCTCGGTAACAAACTTTCCATGCTAAAATAAACATACTCACTGAAAAAACTACGGCTAAAAATTCAGCTATATGACATTTGTAATTAAAATGATTTGTCATGTTCTGTTTTTTTGAGTGATATCAAATACAACAACACAACAACCCAGTTTCTTTGATGCCTCAGTTAGTGATTACTTAACAGAAAAATACATTTGTCAGTCTCACTTCCTTGGGTTAGACTTGTCTTCACAGAGCCAGCCAGCATGGATCAGCGGCCATATTGGATCAGCAGACATGTTGGATCAGCAGCCATGTTGGATCAGCAGACATGTTGGATCAGCAGCCATGTTGGATCAGCAGCCATGTTGGATCAGCAGTTGAGTCTGGTGATTTCTTTTTAGTTTTTAATTTTTCTAAATCATATACTGCAAGAAGAATTAAGTCAGTAATTCTAAAAGACGGGACTGAAGCCCCTTGGCCATGTTGGATTCAGCAGCCATGTTGGATCAGCAGCCATGTTGGATCAGCAGCCATGTTGGATCAGCAGCCATGTTGGATCAGCAGTTGAGTCTGGAGATTTCTTTTTAGTTTTTAATTTTTCTAAATCATATACTGCAAGAAGAATTAAGTCAGTAATTCTAAAAGACGGGACTGAAGCCCCTTGGTGAGTGCGTAGCTACAGTGGGTGGGGGGACTGAATTAATTTCTGGATTGTTTGTTGGGAAACTGCAGCTGAGAGAGGACATCCGCCATGACTGTGGTTCAACTCCCTGTTCCTTCGCCTCCTTCTGCAGTGATGAGGTCATCGACACGGTGAGTAAAAGTTGTTAATTTGGCTAGAACTCATTAATAATGCATGGGTGACATGATTGGTCAGGTCTGGGGTCTGTGATGAAGTCAGAGCAGTCACATGGTATGGGACTGGTGTTAAAAGGCTGGAGGTTTATGGCTCAGCTAAGTGCTCTGATTTGTGGGTAGATGTGTATGACTCAGTGTGTGATCAGAAACATGTAGAAGTGGATGACCATGGTTTCTGTCAGTGGATGTGTTGGTTTTAAACGCTGGTTGCTGTTTCTTCTTCTCCTGCCTGTGTTGCTGTTGCTGAAGCTAAAATGAACTCCACGATTTTCTCCATGTCCTACTTCATTCTTGGTTCCTATTTGAACGTTGGAAGCCTGAGATACTTGTATTTCACCATCGCTCTTGTGCTGTACATCATCATCACTGTTTGTAACACAGCTGTGATCCTGCTCATCTGTATGAACAGGAGTCTACATGAACCTATGTACCTGTTCCTGTGCAGCCTGTTTGTTAATGAACTGTATGGATCCACAGCTTTTTTTCCACTGCTGCTGCAGCAGATTCTCTCTGACGTTCACATCGTCTCTGTTTCACTCTGTTTCCTGCAGATTTTCTGTATCTATACGTACGGAAGTGTCGAGTTTATGAACTTAGCCGTCATGGCCTATGACAGGTACCTGGCCATATGCCGCCCTCTGCAGTATAGCACGTGCATGACAACTCACAGAGCCTTTGTTTTGATTTTGTTTGTGTGGCTGTACTCCTTTGTGAAGTTTTTAGTCACACTGTCTCTGAATCTGCGTCTGACGATGTGTGGCAACACCATCGACAGTCTGTACTGCCACAACTACCTGGTGGTCAAACTGGCCTGTTCTGACACCACCGTCAACAACATCTACGGTCTGTTTGGTATTGTTCTCACGGTTCTAGTTCCACTGCTCCCCATCCTGTTCTCCTACATGAAGATCCTCCATGTCTGTTTCTCTGGCAGTAACCAGCAGAGAGTGAAGGCTCTCAGCACCTGCTCTCCTCAGCTGGTCTCACTCCTCAACTTCTCCTTTGGTTGTATCTTTGAGATTCTTCGGAGCAGGTTTGACATGAGAGCTGTTCCCAAAACCCTGATAATTATTCTTTCTCTTCATTTCCTCATCATCCAGCCCCTGCTCAGTCCCATAATGTTTGGATTACAGATGAGCAGAATAAGAAATGCCTTTAAAGCCGTCCTGGGATCTAAGGCAGTGGAAAATCATCCACAGGACTGTTGAATTATGCTGTAAGTGTAGTTCACCCAGTATTCTCGGATGTGTTTGTATTAAAATACAACATTGTTGTACTTAATCAAACAGATTAAGTAAAAATCATCTATTCTTACACAAGTTTAAAACCAAGAGGACTTGGTTATTAAGACCCACGGTGTCACCAGGTTGTAGATTCAAATGTTCAGGGAGTTAATAATGAAGGTAGCTTTGAACAATCAACCTGTGTTTTATTTAAAGTAAAATATATCTAATAGAAGACAAAACAATTTAAATAAGTAATAATATTTTGAAATACAGTGTTTGGATAATGATGCAGTTTTGTTTCGTAAATACTTTCAGAAATGTGATTTTTTTATTATGGCAAGGTTTTAAAAAAAATAATTTGTAACATTTTTCAAATAGAGTAAAGAGAAAAAAAGAAATGATCATTTACACATTAATTACATAGGACAAAACACATTTTGCCTGAATGACTCCTTAGTTTGACATCAAAACACAAATCAAATCAAATCTTGGTGGTCAGAGTCCCTCTACGGTCCTGCAGAGTCTGCTCAGACTTGGTGTCTATGACTGACTTCAAATCTCTCACAGAAACACAGATGCAGAACAATATCTGGTTCAGGCCTCATCCTTCAACCTACACTACCTTCATGTTACTTGTTAAAGCAGTACTATTTCTTCAATACTCTGTACTCTTCAATACTGTACTTATGCAGTTCTCTGGATCTAAATGTAAAAATTGGACCTTCAAAAAATATCTTTTTGGAACTTTTTGTGTTGAATTGACCAGCTAGACTCTGAGTTCAGGTATCAGACTCTGAGTTCAGGTATCAGAGTCTGAGTTCTGGTAGTTCTAGGTACTGCAGTCTGGTAATGGCTGAACTACAGAAGCTAAAGAGAAGTGTAATCGCTAGTGTCTGCAGATACCAGTGAAGGTCGGTGGATTTTGTCAGGATGCTAAGAAACACGAACAGACGTTGGAGTCGTCATGGAGACGTTTCATCAAATCAGACATTTGTCCTGCTGCAGGACAACTGCTCCACACAGTTGGTCGCAGTCATTCAGAAGTACCTTCAGGACAAAACGAAAACAGAACCCAGTTACGACTGGGTAACTGGTCAGCTACTTCCAGTCAGAATCCCTCAGGTAGTGGTTTCACTCTACATCCAAAAAACCAGCTCCAAAGATTGTGTGTTTGGTCCTCAACAGTGGGGGAGTGTCTCTGTCATAGGACTTCATGAATATCGATGATGTCACACTTGCGTCCTGTGACTTTTGTGGTGTTAAAAGGCGAGACGGTTGTTAGTGGACAGAACTGTTTGTCTTGGTGTGTGTTGAAGGTGAGTTCCTGTGAGTCTGTGAGTCTGTGTTTCCACTTGTATGCATGTTGAGGATGTGTCAGCAAAGACAATCAGGCCGAGACGTTGTTTTTTTACACTGAAATTGTCTTAACTGCTGAGCCACTGACGGTAGCATGAACTCGACACTGTTGCTGTTGTCAAACTTGATATTTGGAGCGTATTTGAACGGAGGAGATCTGAGGTATTTGTACTTCACTGTCACAGCTCTACTCTACATGGTCATTGTTGTCTCTAACACGTGTGTGATTGTTGTCATCTGTATGAACAGGAGTCTACATGAACCTATGTACATTTTTATGTGTAACCTGTTCATAAATGAACTGTATGGAGCCACAGGTTTGTTTCCACTGCTGCTGGTTCAGCTTCTGTCTGACATCCACACCGTCCCAGCTTCACTCTGTTTTCTGCAGATTTACTGTCTGTACACTTATGCACATGTGGAGTTCTGTACCTTAGCTGTTATGGCCTATGACCGCTACCTGGCCATCTGCTGCCCTCTGCTGTATAACAGACGTATGACGCCTCACCGAGCCTTGATCTTAAATATTTTAGTGTGGTTTTACTCATTTGTGAAAGTTTTAGTGACGTTGTCATTGAACCTGCACCTGAAGCTGTGTGGAAACACCATAGACAGTGTGTACTGTCACAACTACCTGATTGTGAAGCTGTCATGTTCTGACACTACCATCAACAACATCTACGGGGTTTTTGGCGTCATCCTGACCATCATGGTTCCTCTGCTCCCCATCCTCTTCTCCTACCTGAAGATTTTTCAGGTGTGTTTCTCTGGCTGTGTGCAGACAAGAGTGAAGGCTCTCAGCACCTGCTCTCCTCAGCTGGCCTCACTCATCAACTTCTCCTTTGGTTGTACGTTTGAGATCCTCCGGAGTCGGTTCGACATGATAGCTGTGCCCTCAGTCCTGAGGATTGTTCTCTCTCTGTACTTCCTGCTCATCCAGCCCCTGCTCAGTCCCATAATGTTTGGATTACAGATGACCAAAATAAGGAACGTCATCAAACGTGTCCTTGGCTGTAAGACACTTTGTGGTCCAGGTGGAAAATAACTGACATCTGTGACCTGCAGTCAGCTGTGGCCCTGTGCTGTAGTTTAACGACAATAATATACAGAAAAATTTCCCAAAGCAATTTCCTGCATGTGCAATGAAGATGTCAAATAAAGGTGCAGGAATGTTGTTTGTGGTCGGTGAAGAAAATCAGAATAACAATGAACCTGTGAACATTTGTTACACTTCTGTTACAATTTGAAATAATTCAAAACACCAGCAACAACAACAACAACAACAAAAAACAACACAATAGGTGTTCAATAACTATGCTGCTCTGCTCTGCCAGAGCTGAATATTCACCTGTCGTGTAGTGACTAACTTCTTCCTTAGTCTTTGGTGAGAGAGGGGATTATTGTCAAGCCATAAAAAAAAATCTCTTTAATTTGTCAAATATTAAGTGAATAATTCTGATATAGCTATATTTTTGGGGACATTGTTTTATATTAAGACTCTTGTTGTCTAAATGTGCACATGGTAGTTCCAGGTGAGTGAGAAATTTGAGGATCAAAATCAGTGGTGGACGAAGTATGCTAACGATGTACTTAAGAGAGTATTTTGAAGTTCAAGGTTTAGTTTGGAATTAGGGATAGAGTCAGGGCCAGAACATGGATAAAGATTAGACACATACATGGATGGTTTTTAATCCATCTTGCCAAACGTTTCCAAATTATATAATGTATTTATAATATCATTATACTTCTGTAGTTTCCCTGCGATACCCTCGTTTTCCCAATAGATGGCGTAGAAAATGATAAAAGCGTTTTAGCATTTTAGCCTACATGCACGACTTTTACAGGTCAGTATCTTAGTTCACACTAACATCAAACATCTATCTGCTCCTGACCATGCTTTTATGTCTTAGATTATGATGTCACCACTGTGTTAGCGTAGGTGAGAGACATAGCACACTATGTGAGTTCTGACTTGTGAAGACTTGTGAGTTACGTCATGCTGTAGGAACGGAACTCTATTGTAAGTGGACAATCTCTTGTACTTGTAATAATGAGGCGAGGGTAAAGGGCTAGCCCAGGGAATCTGTCTGTGTGAGGTACTAACAAAACACAACAACATGTTTGTACCTGCTATAGAGACATATTTTTGAAAAATACAATTGACGAAGGACACTTTTTCCTTCCGTGGACATTTAGGTCAGAGTATTGTGTTCTGTGTGTTTAAAGGAGACAATGAGAGAGTGAGAGAGAAAGAAGGGGGGGGGGTTCCAGAATGGATCTCCTAATTGAACTTTGAACTTTGTTACCCTGGAGACAGTTCGTGATGGTGATATCACCTGCACAATAAAAAACTGCAGCAGCAGCAGTCACTCGGGTGTGAAGCTGGGACTCACACACACACACCGTCACTGCGGCCTCAGACAAACAGCTGTCATCAGTCATGAACTGAGTCTGAGAAATGCTGTGTGATTCAGACTGAAACTTGAAGATTTAAAGGAGAAAATTATCACCAGGGTGAAATTATTTGTATTTTGTAAGTTGTTAACAATTTACTTTTGATATTTGATGAAATTCTATGATGTTTTTCTCCATGTCAGTGTCATCTAACTGGACCTGTTCCCGTGTTCATCTACTCTTGCTGAGCTCTCTCTCACTCTCTCTCTTTTAACCTTTTTAAGGTTTTACCCTCTGTTATCTTCTTTTATATATATACTGTATATATATATACACATATATATATATATATATATATATATATATATATATATGTACGTTGTTGCAAAAAGCCATGTAGTTTAAAGTTCAGTGTTTTGTTGTTTGGTTTTTGATGTTAAGCTGATGATCAGGGTGTAGTTCTGATAGTGTGCAGTTGGAGTTCGGTGGATCAGTGGACACAATGAACTCCACCAGTGTTTCCTTCTTCACCCTCAACCATTACAGAGACGTCGGTCTCCTCAAGTACTTGTACTTCCTTATCCTGCTGATGCTGTATGTTGTCTGCCTGTGCTCCAACCTGCTGTTGATTGTTGTCATCTGTATGAACAGGAGTCTACATGAACCTATGTACCTGTTCCTGTGCAGCCTGTTTGTTAATGAACTGTATGGAGCCACAGGTCTGTTTCCATTTCTACTGATCCAAGTTCTCTCTGACGTCCACACCATCTCTCTTCCTTTGTGCTTTCTGCAGATTTACTTTGTCTTCACTTACGGCAATGTTGAGATGGTAAACCTCACCATCATGTCTTATGACAGATACTTGGCCATCTGCCATCCGCTGCAGTATAATACACGTATGTCTCTTAAAAAGGTGGGCAAACTCATTGCTCTGATCTGGTTGTTCCCCTTTATTGAAGTCGCTGTGATGGTGTCACTGTCCCGGCCACTGACCATGTGTGGACACATCATTAACAAAGTTTACTGTGACAACTACTCTGTGGTGAAGCTGGCCTGTTTTGACACTGTGGTCAACAATGTCTATGGGATATTCTACACTATCATCTTTGTTGGCTTAGTCATTTTTCTGAATGGTTTCTCGTACATAAAGATTTTTAAAGTCTGTTTCTCTGGCAGTAAACAGACCAGACAGAAGGCTCTCAGCACCTGCTCTCCTCACCTGGCCTCACTCATCAACTTCTCCTTTGGTTGTTTTTTTGAAATAGTTCAGAGCAGGTTTGACATGAGCAACGTCCTCTTGACACTGAGGATTTTTCTTTCAGTTTATTTCTTTATTTGTCAGCCAATCTTCAACCCACTCATCTATGGATTCAACTTGACTAAAATACGTATTTTATGTCGAGGTTTGTTGGTGGGTAAAAGGTAACTGTGAACGTCATTCTTTGTTGAAGATGTTTATAAAAAAAAAATACATGTTGATAATTAGAATGTAGAATAAGACTGTGTAGATGAAAGATTGGTTATATGTTTCTTTATATATAAGAAAGTTTGGGTTTTTTGTTTAGGGTTATTTCTCTACCGGTTGTAGGAAAGAGAATAGAACATTTATATTGTTGGAACCTGTACTCAGTCCTGACGCTGGAGTTCAGTTTGTGTTTTTCTCACAGCTGTTTTACTGCTGGAAACATCTGAAGAGAACTCCACACCTCCACACCTAGTGGTGTTGTTTGCATTTTTAGTTTTGCTCTGATTTATTTTAATTCTCCTGCTCAGTCTGTAGCTGTACTTAGGTGGCTGTCAGTTTTGCCCTGCATTTGTCTGCCTTTTCTTTCCTGACAGGTGTAAAATAAATAAATATATTTAATGCAGAAGAAAACTGACTGTCAATTCCATATGAACTCAGAGAAAATGAAGAAAATAATTCAAAATAAGAATTATTTTCAGTATACACTGCTGCTTCTTATCCAACTGCAGAGTGAGTCTGTTAGAGTAAATACAACAGGTGTCAGTAACTGTTAAAAGATCCAGTCGTCACCTGTTATACTGTTGACAGAAACTAAATAAAAGCAGTAACTAAGCCATGAATATAATGATATATTATATGTATAGATATATATGTAAGTGTATATATATATGGTATGTCTATATATGGGTATATATATATATATATATACACATATACTCGTTTCTGTACTTCAAACTGTCTCATCACTTACACATGCTCAGTGAGCCTGATGAAGGCAGATATTTAACTTTACCTTATATTCCACATCTGAAGGACTGTTCCTAGATCTTAGTCTGGTTTCTGTTGTCTGTTTAAATAAATACAATCCTTTGTTTGAAGCTTTCGTTTATTACTTTCACAACATTTTCTGTTTTTACTTGCACTTCTCTGCCAGTGTCTGTACATTTAGTTTGACTGAGACTAATGACCTTTGACCACACTCAGTGGATCGTTAGTCTTCATCTCAGTCTTCGTTAATGTATTTTTGAGATCATTTGGTTTCTTAAATCCAAGCAGGGCGCCCATCCTAAAAGGTTCAATTGACAGAAATGTTCATCAGCAACAAGTCAGAAAGAAATTCTTTATTTATCCTCTTACTGTGAAAATAAATCCATCCTTCTGTCAGTTTGACCGTGTTCTGTCATGAACAGACAGCCACTGCAGCAGTATTCAGGATTTACAAATAAACATTGCCTTGAATGTGTAGGAAACATTTTATGTGATGTCCGTGGAGGTCATTCATGATCAGTGTTCATCACAGTGTGGTCTGGATCTTACTGGAGTGCGTGTTACAACATTATAGAAATAGGTTGGTTTAGTGAGAGTTAATATAACTCTGCTGATCTTTTCCTTAAAATAGACAACATTTTACAATCAGACAGTTTTTATGATGCATTTTAACAGTAAACTGCACAGGAATTAAATGAACTGAATGAATTTACAGATTTCAGGTCAGAATTAAGAAATTCAATTCAAGTTCAGAGACAAGGTGAACATCTAACTTCAATAAAACAAAACTTTTATTTGACTTGTGATTTTGTTTTACAAAAGCAAAACAAAACAAAACAACCTTCTACTTAACAATTCATCTTTGTCAAAAGAAAAAGTAAATTTGAACAAAAAGAAACTAAACACCTTCTTAATGACGCAACTTTACCTTTGACAAGAGAACAGGCTTTTACAGATGACACGTATTTTACTCAGATTTAATCCGTACACCAGCGGGTTGAAAATGGGGGGGGACACTGTAAAGTAGAGTGACATAAAGATTCTCAGCAGGATGGGAGCTCCTTTCATACTCAACCTGCTCTGGATCACCTCCAGAAAACAACCAGAGAAGAAGTTGAACAGCGAAGCCAGGTGGGGTATACACGTGGACATGGCCTTCTGCCGACACTGTTTGGAGCCTGACAGACACACGCGCAGGATCTTGAAATAGGTGTAGGCGATGAGGCAGACGAGACCCACTAACACAATGAAGGTGTAGATCAGACCGTAAACATTGTTGACTGTGGTGTCGGAGCAGGCCAGCTTCACCACAGTGTAGTTGTCACAGTACAGTCGGTCAATGACATTCCCACACATCTTCAGAGAGGCGTTCAGTGACACCATTATCATCACCACAACCAGGGGTATCAACCACGTCATAGCAATGAGCTGGGCAACCTTTTTAGAGCTCATCCGAGTGCTGTACTGCAGGGGACAGCAGATGGCCAGGTAACGGTCGTAGGACAGCACAGCCAGGTTATAGAAATCCACATTTGCATAGATGTACAAGCAGAAGATCTGCAGGTAACAGTAATGAACAGGAATAGTGTGAACGTCCGAGAGAATCTGCAGCAGCAGCAGTGGAAACAAACCTGTGCTTCCCCACAGTTCATTCACAAACAGGCTGCACAGGAACAGGTACATAGGTTCATGTAGACTCCTGTTCATACAGATGACAACAATCAACAGCAGGTTGACAAACAGGGCAATCACATAGAGACACATTAAGAAGAAGAAGACCAAGTATTTCAACAGACCAATGTCAGAGTAGAAGGAGAAGATGAAGTAGGAGACCTGAGTGGAGTTAACACTCATCTTTGTTTGTACACACACACACTCAGGAGGAGAGAACCTTGTTCTGTTTTCTGTTGGTTCTCAGCCACAGCCAACCTTGTCCCTGCCCCCTCCTCAAACATCTGCCTCTGCTGCTTTTAAAGTCTGGAGGTGAGATTCAGTGACACACTATTACCATGGGAGGGGCACCTGTTATTACTTCGAAGATTTATTTTTATATGTTTGTCATTATCTAGATTAAAACGGCAAAAAGTAAAAACAATTTAGCTTTGATAAAGGGTCTGTGAGCAGTCCAAACATTTTGTCAGTTTACAAAACTGCAAACATTTTGTTTTCTAGATTCTGCCACATGTCAAACGGACATGAGAATAAATGAAAAGATTACTACTGACGTGACAGGACAGTCCCCTCCTCACAGCTAGGATTCCTTATTCATGGAAAAAAGTGTAAACGACAAAAATATTTTTTTCATCATTGTGTTGTTTTTAAAGTAGTTTAAAATGTTACACAACTTAAAATGTAATGAACTGGAATGGAACTTTTTATCATTGGGAAATTTGTTTTACATGGTCTCCAGATAAGAAGCTCAGTAAATATATTGTGTTGGATAAAATATTTCTTTGTGTTTCTTTGTGCTGCTAGTGTTTGTAGGATGTAGCGGGGAGGGGGTCAATGGTCTGCATTTGTTTTGTATATCAAGTTAGTTAATAGTAACAAAATTAATGATACAAAAACACCCCAACACCTGTTCTTTTTTTAACACTAGGACCAAGAAGAACAACCAATGAATATCCTGTTGAATATCATCCACATTATTTGACATTCTTTTATTTTACATTTACATCATATCAGTCAAATGTATTAACATTTCTTTCTGGGTTCAAACGACTAAGATCAACAAAGAGGAAATTCTCCGATGGAAACACTGACACTATAGTTTCTTCACCTGTGCTGCAGCCATAAGGCTGATTATCAGAGGGTGCAGGTTGAATCCTCCCTCTTCCCTTATTAAGAATTGTGTGTTAAGAATTGAAATGTGTAAGAAACTGACTTTACTGAGTTAAGGAAAAAAGAGGAGTAAAACTCCATCCATCCATCCATTATCTACCACTTAATCCCAGCTGTCAGCTTAGAAGATGATAAATAAAAACATTGCAGTTTGTTGTTCAAACAGTTAGTCAGTCTTTTCGGGTGCAGCGACTAGTGGTACTTACAAATATACTTTCAAAAGCACTTCAGCTTCTTCCTGCACGGATCAGAGAAGTGACAGCTGAAGTCTTTTAGAAGTATTCAAAAGCACATTTTTATGTAGCCATGGCAACCAGCTGTACTGTGAGAAGTAACTCAACGACCACCCTGATATTCAGGTTTGATGTTCATTTTTTCTTCTCCTTCACCTTTTACTAAAGAAAACCTTTTTACACGTGACGTGTATTTTGGTCAAATTCAGTCCGTACATGATGGGGTTAAAGACTGGCTGGCAGGTGAGCCAGTAGAGTGACAAAAATATACGAATGATGTTTGGCACATTCTTTATGTCAAACCTGTTCTGTACGATTTCAAAGAAACAGCCACAGGAGAAGTTGATGAGTGAGGCCAGGTGAGGAGAGCAGGTGCTGAGAGCCTTCTGTCTGGTCTGTTTACTGCCAGAAAAACAGACTTTAAAAATCCTCAGGTAGGAGTAACAGATGAGCAGAACCATAACAATCAGTGAGGCTGTGTAGAACATCCCATAAACATTGTTGACTGTGGTGTCAGAACAGGCCAGCTTCACTATGGAGTAGTTGTCACAGTAGACTTTGTCAATGGTGTCTCCGCACAGCTGCAGGGGAATGCTGAGAGAAATCAGGACAGACATACAAACAAACGGGTACAACCAGGCGCCGCAGATGAGGACTGTCACCTTGTGAGAAGTCATATGTGCATTATACTGCAGAGGGCAGCAGATGGCCTGGTATCTGTCGTAGGACATGGCGGCTAAATTACAAAACTGTATGGAAGCATAAGTATAGATGCAGAAGATCTGCAGGAAACAGAACGGAACAGGAACAGAGTGAATGTCAGAGAGAACCTGGATGAGTAAGAGTGGAAACAAACCTGTGGATCCATACAGTTCATTCACAAACAGGCTGCACAGGAACAGGTACATAGGTTCATGTAGACTCCTGTTCATACAGATGACAACAATCAACAGCAGGTTGGAGACAATGATCAACACATACAGACACAGGACAATAACAAACACCAGGTATTTAAAGTGTCCGGTGTCAAAAAAGGCACCAAGTATGAAATATGACAGACGAGTGGAGTTGGTCATGTTTCACTGCAGCGCTGCTCCTTAAAGAAGTTTAAAATGAAGTCATGTTTAACTCGTCCAAAAAAAAAAAAAAATCAGAACATTTTTAGTCATTTAAAAAAACTAAGTTCAAAGTCTGAGGTTATTAAAAACCTCATATCAAACTGATGAAATCATCTATAAATAAATGATCTCCTGCTGCAGGGATCGTCCTCCCCGGTCCACTCACATCCAATGCTGCTCTTGCCTTTTTATACCAACAGCAGCAACCCCCCCCCCCCCCCAATCATCAGTGGCAGCCAGCTGTGACTGAGCAGAAACTAAACTGTTGAAACCTTGTTTGTTTTAACGGTTTAATAAAAACGTTTGTGTCCTGAACAACTTGGAACATCTAAGATTGAGGTATTTATGTTAAAAACAAACATCAGACAATTTGATGTCGAATAACAACATTTTTTTTCTGGCAAACCTTGGTCGTTAAATCAAGGGCTGTCAAAATTAAACTTGTTATTGTATTAAATAATTAATTATAATTAAGGTTATAAAATTAACATTTTTGACACATAGGACTGTATATCCAACTGTTCCACCCTCCACCAATGCAACTGTCGTAAACATTTTTAGCTTAACATCCCATTATCAACTGTGTTGGTGGGTGCCTCAACCTCAGGTCAGCGGCCCGCCTTGTGAGCAGCCTGACTGACACAACAGTGTCAGTTATTTTTCAGGACTGTAGACGTCTGGACTTCAGTCCAGAGACATTTTCACTGAGACTGTTGGAGACTTTTATGGACCTTTGTCCAGATTTATAACTCTATCATTTGGATGAATCACAGATAAAAACAGATGGGAAACACTGACCTCTACCTGCTGATATCGGTCTGTCTGTTCCAACAACTTACAGAAGAAAATATTTTTTTTCTGTAAGTTGTTGGTTATTCATTTTCTGATTTATCTTGAAATGTGTTTAACATTGTCAGCGTGTGGATATGAGAAAGAGTGAGAGAGGAAGGGGTGTGGGGGTGAGAGAGAGGGAGAGAGATAGTACACGTACACGTGTGTGTGCACGTGTGAGTTGTGTTATAAAGCAGCAGCTGCAGTCCTTCAGCTCAGACAAAGTGATAGTGGATGAAGTTGTGTTTTGTTGTTGATGATGATGATGATGATGATGATGATGATGATGATGATGATGATGATGATGATGATGATGATGATGATGATGATGTTTACTGACAGTTCACATCTCAAGTCATTTTTCTGTGTTTGAAGGGTTGATGATGATGATGATTGTGATGAACTCCACTCCTACGTCCTATTTCATTCTTTCTGCCTACATTGACATTGGACTCCTCAAATATGTGGTCTTTGTGTTCCTCCTGTGTTTTTACATTCTGTCTATGTTTTCCAACCTGCTGTTGATTGTTGTCATCTGTATGAACAGGAGTCTACATGAACCTATGTACCTGTTCCTGTGCAGCCTGTTTGTTAATGAACTGTATGGAGCCACAGCTTTGTTTCCACTCTTACTGACCCAGGTTCTCTCTGATGTTCACATCCTTCCACGTCCTCTGTGTTTCCTGCAGCTTTATTGTTTGCACACTTATGGCTCTATTGAATATGTTCTCCTAGGGGTGCTGTCCTATGACCGCTACCTTGCTATCTGCTGCCCCCTACAGTATAACTCCCGGATGACGGCCTCCACGATTTCCAGGCTGGTGGCTGCAGCCTATTCCTGGGGCACGATCACTTGCATCATCATGATCTGTCTGTCTTCAAGCCTGAAACTGTGTGGAAATGTCATCCAAAAAGTTTACTGTGACAACTACTCGGTGGTCAGGCTGGCCTGCTCTGAAACGAACATCATCAACATCTACGGCCTCATCATCACCTTCTTCAACATCCTGTTTCCTCTGGTTCTCATCCTGTTTTCCTACATAAAGATACTGCTAATCTGTTTGTCAGGCTGTAAACAGTCTCGTAAGAAGGTGTACAGCACCTGCATGCCTCACTTGGTCTCACTGATCAACTACTCCTTTGGAGTCAGCTTTGAGATCGTACAGAGCAGGTTCAACATGACCACCATGCCCATCACGTTCAGGATCTTCATGTCACTCTACTGGCTCACCATCCAGCTGCTCCTGAACCCACTCATGTATGGGTTCTACCTGAGTAAAATACGCCTCATATTACAAAACCTGCCCCTCCCCAGGCTGTAGGTCACGATCTTTGTTATCAAAATGTGCACGTCAAACGGGCAGTGGTGGCTTGGTGGTTAAGGAAGCGGACTTGGGTCCGGAGGGTTTCAGGTTCAACTGCCAAGTTGCCACTGAGGTGCTCTGAGCATGGCACTGCTCCCCATGCACTTAATCTGCCCACTGTTCACTTTGGTGATGGGTTAAAAGCAGAGGACAGATTTAGTGGTGTGCTGTGTAGTTCACTTTCTTTCCATCTTCTGAAGAGCTCCATTTTCTCTACATTGTTTTTTAAATATGTTTTTTATATCTAGAGTGTGAATTTGAAGTTTGTGATGGTTTGTGATAGATTATGTACAGTCAGGGAGTTGTATTTTGTTACTGTTTCCACTTGTAAACAAAAACCTGGCCGTCCTCCAGAGTGTCCGAGTGTCCACACAGAGTCTCCCAGCAGGTGACGCTGTAGAGCAGGAGAAGGTCCACTGGGGCTCATTACTGTGTCAAAAACACACAGTGTGTGCTGTAATGTGTATAGATAAACAAAAGATCAAACTATATATTAAAGTGTTTAATTGCGGTCACTTTTCTTTAAATGCAACTTAATTAAAAAAAGTCACAGATTGTTTTTTTATATTTGTAATGTTATTTTATGACCTCCAGTTTTTTATGAATTAGATTAAGAAATAAATAAAACCCTACACACGAAACAACTTATTTTTTAAATCAAATTAAAAAAAGAAACTTTATATACACACTGGACAGAAAGTCATCAGCCTCAAAAATCAAATTCAAACTTTGAGGCCTCTTGTCTGTCTGTGTGCCAGTAATATTTTTTCTGATGTAAGAAAACGTTCCCATTTGTTTTCATTTGGTTACTGTGGTGATCCTAATGGCTATTTCTAACTCCATCTCCAGAGTGTCTTGGTGTCCAGGCAGACCATGTCCTCAGGGGGAGATGGTGGGAGTCTGGGATAGGCAGTGCTGCAGTGGGGCTCATTACTGTGACATGATGAAACAAACACACTCTATGCTAACATGTAACATTTATGGCCTTACAATTTCAAATTTAAATCTGGCATTGAGGCTACATCAAACTAGTGCTAATTCAGATACTAACCAATGTAAATCTTGCAACTCAAACTGACTCAAACCATGGGAACAAATTGAAAAAGTGCTGAGAACCTCTATTTGTTCTAACATGTTTTTCACAAAACAGAACATAGAGAGTAACCAATCACATTTACTCATGTCACTTTAATCGAGTCGTTTTTGTTAGTAATTTGTAATCTTTAAGTAGTTTTGGGAATAGGTCATTTTACTTTTTCGTAAGTACATTTTAACTCAAGTATTTTACTATGCTGCATTTGAAAAGAACCTGTTACTGAGAAGAACATTTAAAAGCGGAGTAAATCTATCTGCTTTAACTGATAAAAAATTGTGTGGGCGAGCGCGTGCGGATTTTCCACTATATTAATGTAGTCAGAGAACCTCGACCAAGAGATGGATTCTAGCCTGTCGTTGGATGATGGCCGGTGACAAGCAGACGACTCAGAAAGAGAAGGAACTCCTTGGTCATATCTCAGCTAGCTCTGTTTTCAAATGTAAACCAGGCAATAACTTTATCATACGTATATAAGTCTTTTTTTTACTTTTACTTGAGTATATTTTTAAGTGTATACTTTTATTTTTACTTGAGTAAAATTTAAGCAATGTAAAGATACTCTGACATAATTAAATTTTTTAGTACTTTTTTTTTACACTTTTGCCAAAACAGCACTCACACATACTCTCTGTCTCTCTCTCTCTCTCTCTCTCTCTCTCTCTCTCTCTCACACACACACACACACACACACATTCTGTTTCCGCACTCGGGCATGTCAACGATTTAAAATGTGGTGTAATTGTAAGGGATTTACCACCATCTAGTGGACACAATGTGGAAGTTCAACATGGCCACAAATGCATTGGACCTCATGGTATTTTTCAAACATTTTAATCATTTCTATTTTATACACATTTCATAATTCTAACGAACTTATTAATTGATGATAAAATCTGTGATAAATAAAGATTAAAAAAACAATATTTGATAATGGTGGTTAAAGAGATATTTTCTGTTTTTACAGTCACATTGTTTTTCAGCCATGTCATTGTTTTTTGTGATGTGAGTTGATTTTAAACAACATGATAATTAAACTCTTCAGTATCTAAGATGAAGGTATGTTTTTAATGTATTCTGCATTAGAACAAATATCACGGTCCAGTCTGTCTCCTACTCATTAGGCTCACATTGAGACGACAATACAATGAAATGCACTGACTTTTAATCATACAACAAGCAATGATGATGATGTAGAATTGTAGTATTTATTTTAATGACATTTGTTAAGAAAAATCTCAATTTACTTTTTTTTTTTTTTACGTTTTTTTATACATTACACTTTTTTTTCAAATTGATGTTTTCATTTGTACATGATCACATATAGACTGATGGCTGAAGGAGTGGAAATCTGCTGCACCAACTTTTGGAGCCAGAGTCTCTCATTTTAATTAGTGTTTTTATTATTTGTGTTTCATTTATTAAAAAGTGTTTTGTCTCAGCAGAGCTGCTGCTCATGTCTCTGCAGACTGATGTTAATTACCCAAATAGATAACGACTCTGTTGTTTCATCCTCAGGGGCAATTAGATGAAGGGGTTAGTGACAACAGAGTATCAGCTGAGAATACTGGAGGAAAGATGCAAATTAGATTCACACTTAATGTCTTCAAGACGCACACACACACACACACACACACACACAGAACTCACAGTCACATAATTGTTTGTACGATGTTTTCTTTTTTTCTTTAATTGAAACTGTCAAATGTGCTCTGGACCAATGACAGATCTTTTGTGTTTGACACGTCTTGTGGTCTTACAGGACAGCCACTCTTGTTATAAGATGAAGAGATGCAGGGCAGAGGATTTTGTAAGCATACAGGAGAACAACAGCAGGAGGTAAGAACAAGATCCAGTTTGATCTGTTGGTGGGATTAGACCTAGGTTGGATGAGGATGTTTCATTGATCAGATTAACTAAGATACATATTTTATGGTTGAAAGACTTAAGTAGTTAAACAAAATATAATATTACATTTATGCTGAAATTGTTGATTGTTATTATGATTGTGAATGTGATTGTTTTGTACTCAGTCATAATAATAATTATAATAATAATAATATAATACAAAATACAACTATATTTCTACATATATATATGTGGTTGTGTGTGATGTTTAGAAATGTAATTTTGGTGTAATTTTTTATTTACTCTGCATGTAAAAATGTGTATGTACAATATAAATATATAACAGAATTATTTTCTTAATAATCTAGAGAAACAGAATATCTACATATAAACATGTTTATTAAATGTAATCTTTTAAACAGAAATGCTAAATATGTAAATTAAAAAATTAATAAGAACGTGTTAAACTGTTCAATCTGGATCAAAGTATTTCATATTGAACAACCTCACCCTTCCCTTAACACTAACTTAACAAAATAAGATAAAACAAAATAAAAAAATATTTTTTATTGCTTTTTAAAAAATATAATCATTTTAATGAAATGTATTGTTGTTTTATTATTTAAGTTAAATTAAATCCAATTAAAAAGTTTAAATGAAAAGTAAATAAAAGAAATCAAAATTAAACCTACCATAACCCCAATTAGGGTTACTAACACTAACCCTAACCCTACCTTAAATATAAACAATAAAATATATACATTTTTCATGTTTTATTCATTTAATTTTTAAAATGTAATAATCTTTAATGACCTGTATTATAATTGTTTTATTATTTGAAAAAAATACAAATAAAATATATATATAGTGAAAATAAAAATGTAATAATAAATCAATAATAAATTATAAATTATTTAAATTAGAATTTAAGTTTTTAATTTATTATTAAAAACATATATGGGTTAACAACAATAACCCTACCTTTGGAAATAAAATTAAAAATAATTAAATAAAATTAAATAAATATGTAAAACATAGAAATCATATGTATTACATAACAAAAATGATCTTACATTATATTATGTATTAGTGTTAGTAACCCTAACTCTAACCCTTACCCTTGACCTTAGCACTAACTCTAACCTAGCAAATAAATAAAATGAAATAAAATACTAAATAAAACAATAATGTAAAAACTATAATTAAAAACAAAACAAAAACAAAAATTAAAATAAAACATTTTATCAAATCATTAAATTAAATAATCAAATATTCAAATAAATGTTTTTTTTAGAAATCATTAAATAGTTTTCTCTGCTACCTCTGTCTTCAGGTGACACGATTAACACGATGCTGCATGCCTTACAGAGCAGTAACTTCTCTCACAGCAGTTTTATATTTCGAGGTTTTCCTGAGATGCAACAGTACCGCTACCTGCTGGCAGTGCTGTTTTCTGCATCATATATATCAGTGCTGCTTGGAAACTCACTGCTAGTCTACGTGATCCGCCGTGCAGAAAGTCTGCACAACCCCATGTACTTGCTGATCTCCATGCTGTGTATCGTTGACATACTTGTTGTCATAACCATCATCCCAAAGATGCTGTTTGGCCTCCTTTTAGACTGGGATGAGATCTCATTGGCTGGCTGCTTGACGCAGATGTTTTTTACTCACTTCCTCTCATCAGTGGAGTCAACATTGCTACTAGCGATGGCACTGGACCGTTTTGTGGCCATCTGTCACCCGCTGCGCTATGCTGACATCATTGACTCATCTATGTTTGTGGGGCTGCTCTTCTTCATACTGATGCGCAGTGGCGCCATCATGGGAACTCTGGTTGGTTTGGCAGGTTCACTATGGTTCTGCAGCTCCAATGTCATTTGGCACTGCTACTGTGACCATATGGCACTGGTTAGTTTGGCATGTGATGACACCAGGAAGAACAACATGGCAGGCCTTGCTGTCATCATCTGCTTTGTAGGCGTGGACATTTCTCTTATATTTCTGTCTTACATAAAGATTTTGAGCGTTGTTCTGAGCGCAGCACCGGCTGGTGAAGACCGCTGGAAGGCCTTTCACACCTGTGGTACCCACCTGATTGTAATGATGTGTTTCTACCTGGTTGGCAGTGTCACCTTCTTATCCCGCAATCTCAACATCCCCATCCCCACTGATGTCAACACCTTCCTGGGACTCATGTACATTCTGTTCCCTGCCACTGTCAACCCCATCATCTACGGAGTTCGTACTAAAGAGATTCAAAGCAATTTTCTGAGGATTTTCAAACTAAATGCAAAGAAAGTGGGGACAATAAAAGTTTGCCCTGGTGGAAAGAAAGATTCTGCAGGAATCAAAGCTGCTACTGTTGAACTATGATTTTAAACATGGTCATTTAGCCAAACATTTTTTGGCTAAATGTTCTCCAAAATGTTATCTTTTCAGCATTATTTTCATCAATTTCTTTTACATTTTGGGGCAAAATCCTAATTTAACATGTCATTTTTGGTCAAACAATGTTTTACATTTTTTCTGTCTGCATGTTTTTCATCAAATTAGAGCATTTTGAGAATTTCTTTTTTAACTTTCATTGGTAAAATCTTCATTTAGCCTGTAATTTTTGGTCATAATTTGAATAACACATTTTGACAAAAATCTTTGTAAAATTATTTTTCAAATTATTTTTAAAAACATTATCTTTTCCTGCATGTTTCCCATCAAATAAGGGCATTTAGAATTTTTTTTTAGAAAAATTATTTTTTCAATTTTTTTGACAAAATCTAAATTTTAGTGTCTTGTTTTGGTCAAATGCTAATAAATTTTGACGGAAATAATTGTAAAATGATTTTATAAAATTTTTTTCTTGCATGTTTCTCATCAAATTAGAGCATTTAGAGAACATTTTAGAACATGTTATTTATTTAATTTTTTCTAAATATCTGAAATATCTGAATATCTCACATTGTGAATTATCAAACAGCACAATTAATGTTCAAAGCTCATAACAACGTGTTGCCAATAAATATACAGAAATCGTTCAGTATTCATGAGGGGAGTTATAACCTAAGGGGGGGAAATTAACTTTAATTTACCTCTAATTCATACGACAAGGAAGGGTCTTTGCTTTCCACTTTTCACTTGGCAGCATGTTCTAGGACAT